CACGTACACACACAAAAACGTTTTTCATCTGTTTTCCATACAGGACATGTTTGTCCCCTTATACTGAGCTCCTCCGGCGACGTCGCTGCAAGATTCAACAGCACAAGATGACACCTGTCAAAACGCACGTAGCTTTGAACATTACCAAACAAACGCTTTACTCCTTCCATATCGCCCAAAACATGAAATACTGCCACCCACATCATAACACCCTTATTCATTCCCTGGCAGTCTGCATGTCCCGCCTTTTTTTCATTTTTGTGGCAATAAACAAATAGCGTCACCTTAGCCACAGGAACCTAATACCTCGACACGGCTCTAAGAAATCTTTATTGCCTTTGTTACATTTCGCTTGGCTGCTGGTGCTGTACAACGCAGTCCAGCGGTCTTTGGCGAGTATCACAACGCCCGTGTCAGATTACACAGAATTACGCGGCTGGCAGAGCAATGCAGGGCACCTGTGAACATGCCCTGCTGGGTGGGTGTAAAAGCAGGACCCCTGTGAGGTTACCACAAGTGCGCCTTGCGATGGCAGTGCCGCGGCGCAACACGACCCTTGCGGTGGGGTTTGACGGTCCTCCCCCTGGACATACATACAGCACGCAGGCCCATCTTGACAACAACTGCGAACGCATGACTACCGATACTTCAGCGGGAGCCCTGAGTTATTGTTATGTTTTGCTTCCGTCGGCTCCTCCTGTGCCGCCACTGCGGTATACGGAGGCATTACGCGTGGCTCACACGGGCCGGGCTCGTCCGCTTCTGTAGCGGAAAGCACAGCTTTGCGGGGTGAACGTCCCCCTCGTTTAATCTGGAGCGCTAAATCATTCAATACTGAACACAAACACACCCCTCCACACGCACGCACGCACACAAAAAAAAGCATACACACCTTCAAGCGGGATTTGAGCGCTCCCTTGACAGTCATTTGCGCGGGGCTCACGACGATTTCCTCCTCCGAGTACTCCCTCACGCTGCCGTCCTGCATCAGCACCGTGTAAACATTGCGGCGAGGTCCCGCGGCTGGGTCCCTGTTCTCCGGCTTGACAGCTTGGACCAGCCCCGGGAGCGCTGCCCCGTCCCCGGTCGGGCTCGGCGCACAGACGCGGCTGCCGGGCACCGAGCGCTTCACCAGACGCCGGGAATGCATGCCCGATTTTCTGCCGCTGCTTCTGCCTTTTGGCGAACGCCTACACCTATGCCCTTCAATAACCGGGGGGGGGAGGGAGAGACACACGACGAGGTGCTTTTATTAATCGATACGGAACGATAAAACACCGCGGATCAGACTCGGTCCAAAAACGCTTTCGCGCAAAACAGCATTTTCTTAACCTTTTTTTTTAATTCTTATTTCGCAGAACGGCTTGCGAGCTCGCTAAAAAAAAAAAAACGGGCAGTGAGGTTGCAAAAAGACCCCCCCCCAAAAAAAAAAACAAGAGCCCCCGTTTCTGCCACAGCATGCACGCCACCGAAGTGCAACAGACTGCGAGAAACGATGTATCAATGCACGGCTCTGCCCCTTCATGCGACCGGCTACCAAGCTCCCTGCCTTCGACCTGTTTGTTTTCCTCGCCGTTCCCTGTAGCCCTGACAGTGCGAGAGGAAAAACGCGACGTAGATCTCCTCCTTAATCCCGGACTGGGAGGTACCGCTCCGTCAGCCGCCCCGCGTCGCTCCTGGCCCCGCTTCGACCGCGGGGGAGTTCGGCGCCAATGCCTCCGGCGACCCGGCCCGGCCAGCGGAGGCGATGCGCCTTTGCGGGGCGTGAACCCGCCTGTCCGGCCCGGGCGACCGTGTCAGCCGGGGAAACTCCGGGTCGGGCTTTTCTGCAGCTCGCCTTGCCAAGCCCGGCCGGCGGACTGGCGGGCTGTTAGACATGTGCGGATCTGCGGGGCCGTCGGCTGTTGCCATTGGCCGGCGGCGCACACGCCTCCGCTGTCTCCCTTCTCTCCCCTCGCCGCGGAGATGTCAGCCTCCCTCCGCCAACAGCAGGCCGGCAGGCGACGGGGGAGGACCGCTCATTCAAAACAATGACGCAAGGATAGATGTGAAGCGAGGGGAGACACAACAAAAGGTCCGAGGCGAGGTGTACCGCATGCCGCCGCTCCTGTGACGCGCCGAGAGGCAGCGTGTGAAAACCATCAAATTGTGATCGTGGTACGAGCGAGACTCGGCAGCTGAGACATAGCCGGGGAAACGACACTAATTTCTTTAGAAACTGAAAAAAGAAAAAAAAAAACTGGGTAGGGAACCTTTTCATAAATAGAAAAGGTATTGAGTGCACCACGTTTTTCTCTACGCTGATAAAAAAAAACCCAAACAGGTATATATATATATTTTAATGCAGTCCGCGCCTACCCCTGTGAGTATAATAACAGTGAGAACTTTAATCTTTTGCACTTTATGAGTCTAAACCCCCCCTTTGTTGTGGGACTTGCTAAACAATTGTCATCGAATTGCTGTAATAATCAAAGATGCGATGTATAAATGAAAATGTGGAACGGACGCCTCCGGCCATTAACACCTCAGCTGCCACCTAAGGCACTCGTACGACATAGCTAAACTATCGGGTCTCCCATGAACAGGTGAGGTTTGTTTGCAGAATGATGTATTTATAGTCATTGTTGTCGACATACCTTATTACTTGTTAGGAAGGTGGTGCGTTTAACTCTTACGTCATGCGTCTGACAGGTTTTCTATTTTTTTAAAAAGGATTCAGTTTCCGAGCTTTAATTACTGTACAAATACACATTTCTGGCCAGTTCGCGTCTCCTTCATTTTTGCCAGGACCTCGTGTATGGGGGGGGGGGCGCCCCCAAAAAATGCACGTTCTTGTACATCACAAAATAAAACTTTTCACATCGACTTTACACGTCTTTACTAAATTCGTATTTTTATCTGACATGGAGTCTCTGGCCACTGTCTGGGGCAGGAGTGTGGTGCGTTGGTCAGGGGTCTGGACCTGAAACTGCTCCTGTGTCGTTCAGCAAGTATGTTGTTCGGATTACTCTATTTAAATGCCACGCAGTATAAATCATTGCAAATGTCAGTCAGTTTAGACAGATAAATGCAGTTACTGTATGTGCTGCTTTTATGACTTACCTGCTTTATTGTGACTGGGAATGGGTCGTTCTTTACCATTCTGTTCAAATGTTAGATAAATGCACAAAGCAACGCATCACGGTGACAATGATGTCCATTCGAGCCCTTGTTTCCCCTCGATGACCTCCTCCGCGATGGCAGCATCGTGAAAAGTTGTGGGGCAGTACGAATGAATCATTTAGCCAGAGCTTTTATCCCAAACGGGGCTGGTGGAGGCGACGAGGGCTGAACGGTTCAGCGGCAGCGGCGGACTGACAGCGGAGAGCTCGGCGTAGATCCCCAGACTGATCAACACACGGCCTTGTTATACTGTAACTCCTCTTCTTCAGCCAGCGGACCGCCGGTCTGGAGACAGCTGTTACCAAGAGTGCTTTTCTATATGAACTGCTGTGCTTTTGTATGAAGCCTTAGCCCAGAGCTGTGTTTTCTGTACACGAGGGCTCTAAATCTCCTACCTGTCGGAAGTTTTGTATGGCTGCCTTCTTGAACGGGGATCGCAGGGATTTTTTGCTCCCGTGTGGCTTCCGAAAATAAACCTCGCTTCATTGCGCAGATGGGTTGCAAGTCACAGTTGCACCCAGTGAAATCATAGCAAGTTTATACTCCATAATCAGGTGGGTGTTAGGTTACAATTGTAAAATGCATCAGTAAGATCTCATGTTAGAACACTCTATATTACTTTGCTGTCTGTGTTATACATAGATTGTGCTGCTCAGAAAATCAGTCCAGAGTACAGCAACCAGATATATTAGGGGGTTTAAAGGAGTGCCCTACATGGACAGGCCAGAGGAGCTGAATATCCTTAGTTGTGAACCGTGACGATTGCAAGGAGACCTGATTCTCATGTTCAAAATCAAAGGCAACTGACCTACTGTAGTCTACCTGATGAACTGCTTCAGGCTCACCAGTGACACTCTTGAGGTTTCATATACCGTGCCAGAGGTCACAAATGGGAATGAAGAAATGCATTTTCTTTAAGGACAGGAAGCAGTTTTTACACAAAGGATTGTGGGAGTCTTCAGAAAGGAACCCTGCCTTCCTCCAAAAAACAGCTGGAGGAGATCAATCTGGGAGCATCCAAATGAGCTGCTTGGGCTTAATGGTCTCTTCTCAATTATAACCACTCTTACGTACAGTATCTATGAAATCATTTCCTTAGCTCGTTCACTACTTGAAGTATCATTTGCGAATGAGTGCATTGAAAATGTATTTAGAAAACATGACCCAGTTAAAAAAGCTAGCGAAAACTGTAGGCCAGAATAAAGGAGAAAAAACTAATTATTAAGCTTCCTAATATTCAAAATCATAGACCTAAATTCAGAATTTAAAATCTTCTGTGCTTTAAGACATTTATATATTATATATTTAATATATTTATTATATAAAATATTATATAAATATTTATATATTAAAGATAAGAAAAATGCTACACTAACTTAATACACTGCATTTCATATATATGAGCTGCTAAAAGCAATTTAAAAGCATTTTTATATTTAATTGCTAGAAAGAAATTATCATGTGTCTAAAAGAAACGGAAAGGGTATCGTTCAATTTTATTTAACTTTCACAGATCTGGGCAATAGCAGGCCTGCAACATGAAGGAACTCATATTAGTGTTGGTCAATGTGAGAGCCTGTGACTTCTGAAATTCGAAGTTGTTGAAACTGCTATGCAATGAGATGTATTTACTCATATAGCAGCTTGAAAATGCTAGAAACTGAGGAATGCGAAAATATATATAAAAACGACTTTTAAGATTTTCTAGCATACAGTAGAGCTGCTTCAGATGTAAACTTTGACTTCAGAAAAGTTATTTTATAGGTTTAATACATTCTGAATGGAACTTACTGTACTATAAGTGCTCATGTGAGAAGGATTTGGACAGAACACAGCAGTTTCCTGTTTTAGAGGTGTTTATATGAAAAGATCCAAATGACTTGCAACTTTAAAATTAAATAACATTTTATGGGTAGTACAGTTATTTTCAAAGAGTCACTGCAAAGTGATTTACAAAAATGCAAAAAAAAGTAAACTAAAATAGTACTATTAAAATGTTCATAAAACATTTTGTGTGATAATTGTATACAACCATTTGAAACATTGCAATACAGATTACAGGATACAGTCCGACATAATTTCTAGTTAACCTGGAAACGTAATTTGGCACATTATGCAGGATGTCATAAAGAGACTACTGATATTTTGAATGTCTTTCTAACGGGCCTGAAAATGTTCTCATCAACAATACCCGTTTTTATCGACAAAACCCCTAGCATTTTGATGATGTTCAACTGTCATGTCTGAACACTGGTAAAACTGTGCCCTCATTTCAGTACCTTCCAGCTCCCCCATCTTGAAACGAAGTACAGTACCACCAAGGACGTGTCGTTTGACAAACGAAACCACAGCATGAAGTAAAGAATGGGACGGCACCTTGAAAATACCTCCCTTTATACATTTGTGTACCAGAACAATACCAAAAAAAACCCCAACAACAACCAACCCATAGTGTTTCTGCTGACACGTTGTTTTAATACTGACTCGTTGGAATTGAGACTTTGCAAAATCATATCAGCTCATTTCAGGAAGCCAGTTGTGCACTGTTTGCAAAATGTACCATATGTACAGGTAAAATGGCACTGGTCATGAGCCTTCAATAAAAATGGCATTTCTGACAGACTTGTCTATTAACACACTACTTGCTGTGATACTCACAGAACATTACGTTTCCCTTAAAGTTGTATCATAACCCTTGCTGTTAAACTATACTAATGTACCACTACAAACATCTGTTTTTATCATCTCTCGTTTTATGGAATTACCAACAAAACCTAGAAAAATACAATCATATACAAATACAATCTTTTCACACTCCGCATAACACTGTAAGACATCTTAATCTTCACACAAAATTTCCTTTTTCAATATATACAGAAGCTATTTTCAATACAGCAATCACAGAAAGGGTGTTGAAAAAGAATTTAGAAATAGTTCTAAAATAGGTGCATTGAAATCCTTTTTAAATTTCATGGAATATCGGTAATGAGGGGTAGCACAAGAGAATAGCAGTTGGCCAACTCATTTCCCCTGGGTTCTGGGTTCAATTCCCAGATTGGGGTAACAGTTTGCATGGTCTTCCTATGTTTGTGTGGGTGTTGTCTGCAAACTCAAGATTTTTTCCCCATGATCCAAATACATGCATTTCTTAGTAGTTGTGTGTGTGTCCTCTGATGGGCTTCTACCCCAACCCAGGATGTCGCCGCAGTGCCAGTGGAGTTTTTCTCTAGCTCACCTTAACCTCCTGAGGTTAAAGCAGTAACTGAACGTGGATGGAGATTTTATCATGAATACCCCCCAAAAATGTTACAAGATTGGAAGAAAAATTCGTCAGAATTGAGCTTAGTCTCCAATGCCTGCAAATGGGATATGTGATATCCAAATCGGAAAAGTGTTTTCATCAAATTCTCAGATTCATATTGGTTAAGGTTTCACCATCAAATTGAAGGAGTAAAACATTTATCCCAGGTTTCACACAGAAAGATATACAGTAAGCCTACCGGTCTAATTAAGTGCAAAGTATTTTACATGTTATGTTCGATTTTCTTTCAATTTAAGTTGAATTGCCAACTCCTACTTGGCATGCCAGTCTCTCAGGGTTTCCCCTCTAGTGAAATGTATGACAAACGTCTAGCAACAGCAATAGATCATCATTAAATCATCATTAGATCAATAAAAAACATAGCGATTAAAATCTCTTTACATAAAAGCTAGAGGCAAAACAATTTGTCAGAAAAATCGAATGAGAAAATATCGTTATCATTAACTAGGTGGTGACCCGTTTTAGTTTAATCATTTCCAGCCACATTTGTAAACTATTACATTTATAGCTGCTGGCTTGCTAATACCGAACAAACATTAACAATTGCTCCACACAATTGGTCTTACGTTCCTTTCGAAACCATGTAATTTTCCAGAGTTATCAAGAGCTGTTTAAGAAGTCAACAGCTGTGTTCTTCACAAAAATCCACTTGAACAGGGAGTTTTAAAAAAGGCAATTTTTCGTCCATTAGGCCTTTAGAACATTTCTGGCTTGGTGGCAGGCATATTATTTTTCGTAGTTACTTAATTTAAAAACTGAAAACATGCAAGACAGACACTTATTTTCCACTGTGGAGAAAACTGCCCACTTCATTTTAAGTTATGTACATAAGCTATTTGCCCACAGTGGAAAACCAGACCTCCATTTTTGTAACTGAAATACCTGTGCTTGACTTCACTGTTCTTACTAAGACCTTTATGTGTTGTGGTTTTGTTGTAGATACAGGAGTGTAGGTGATTTTCCTACAGTATTTTCTTTCCTACATCTCAATTCATTACTGTGACATCAATGTTAGATCAGTTCCGAGACCAAATTGTGGACAATACTAAAGACAATATATGGCTCTTACTGTATATAAACATTTAGTTAAAATGGAAACATTTAGTGCATAGCATAAAATAAAGTGGAGGTTAAATAAAAAAGAAAGTTACCCCTTTAATATAACTTATCATCTGAGACATAAATATAAATTCTTTCTATTTTTTACTATGTGCAGGAGCTACAATTTGCTTTTATGCTCTCAGTATGTTGGCTAGTATTAAACAAAACATTATGTGATCTTATAAAAAAAGATTGGAACGCCAATATCTACAAAGAACAAAAAAGGCAATAAAACATCAATACAATTTTTGTTAATAAAATAAAACTTGACACTTACATGTAAGTACCTTACATTGAAAGAATTCTGCATTAGTCAAAATGGCTGCTGCGAACATAAGTACCTAAATTTAACATGAGATTTCAAAAGCTCACTTGACAGTGGATTGCAAATTAAGAATTTTAAGACAGCAAGAGCAACCCTGTATTATGCTGACCAACGTTCAGAGCCCTACAAGAAACAAATGAAGACAATAGTGCACTTGAATTATATCCAAGAATAGTGTGCCAAGACAAAACAATGATTTTAATAGTTTAACTATTTGTCTAAAGAATGGCATTCCTGTCAAAACAAAACTAGGAAGCAGTGCTTCTCCATAATGTTATTATATTCTAAATACTTTATGAGTCATAAGGCAGATGATATCAGCTTTCAACAGTCATTTCCCAGTTTGAATTTTAGTATTTTCAAATGCCTTTTGCCTGCTGACTGAGACTAAAGTGGTGACAGATGTCTCCGATGTTTGCATCTTTTGAGGTTTGCTGCTGCTGGCTTTTGAAAAACACACAAAAGAGTACCGACAAGAATCAATCGCTCATGTGTCCCTAATTGGGGACCCTGCTGGGAAGTGAGAGAAAAGCCCCTTTCTTGAGGGCACAGGACTGCCCTAATTGTGAGTTACTGAGAACAAATACCCAAAACAGAACTGGATCTGCAGGTACTTAATATATTACCCTTCTACGGTTACAGCGCTGTGCAGTGTACCTTTATCATTCTGGGCGACTACATGCATCTGTGTAAAGAAAACTAATTAGCAGGCTCAAAATAAAACAAACAAAATTCTAGGACCTTTACTTTTCTTCCTGTTGTAGTTCAAATAGGACGACTTTGTTTTCTGGACAACTCTGCAAAACAACAGATGTTTCCACTGAGTTTTTTTAAAAAGACATATCGAACCTTGTTTACTGTAATCACTGCGATAGTGTAATGACGTACCTATTTCATCCCTGAAGTAAAGTGCATGTTACATTAATTTCGTACAGGTCCTGAGTTGTACTACAGTACCCACCAAAAACTACAGACCTGCCATTTCTTCTGCTTTGCCCGAAGCTCTTGGAGTCTCAGTTTCAATAGGGCGGTTTCCCTACTGGCATCAGACATCAGGCGTCAAGAATCAGATCCATTATTTAAAAAGCAATACAATTTTACATGTTACCATTAGAGTACCACAACAGCCAGCCATTGACCAGCACTGAATAAGCCAACCAGCTTCACCATTCCAGTCATATTAAGTGCCATATTACTTTGTCAAAATCATATTAATTGGAAAAAAAATGCAAAAAAGCCATTTTGAGATATGAAGAACTGAGGTTGTTAAAACCTTTACATAGCACAGTTTTCACTGCAAAAGCAAGTCAGAAATTCCTCTCCTTTTATGATCCATGACAGGAGTCTTAAACCCTGGTTCTGAAAAGCCACAAGGCTTTGTGGTTTCCTCTCCAATCCCAACTCTCTATTACTTAACTGATGACAACTGGTTGAGGTTATTGAGGACCTCATCTCGTGGTTTAAGACTCATGTCATAAAGACTGCAATTCCTCGGGGACGAAAAACGATCTGTGGTTCAGCGTACCAAGATGAAAAAGTTTAAAATAGCCTCTTTAGAAGATTCCAAATTCAGAATGAACAATTACAGGACTGTTCAAAGTTATACTGCCATTTCATTCTTGTCCCTTCCGCGGCTTTTTAAAGATCGTTCTGTGGGGCTTCTTCTCGGCTTTTGCTTTTGAAATTCCTCCAGCAAAAGTACTTTGGATGGGGAGGGCGATTACAGTTTGACATAGCTCTGAGGTCACAGATGCACCACTGATATACATACAGTACACCATCAATATACAAGCACCCAGCTATGAAGAGCTGTTTCTGAAGAACTGGCATTCTGGGAACAGCAGTAGGAATGGTAACACCTTGGGCAGGGAGAACCAGATAAGAATCATCCAGGAAACACAATATGAGAGGAACGGAGAGGCTGCGCCACGAAAAGGGTGTGTAAATCTCTCTCTCTAAAAAAAAAAATTAAACTCGTGAAGTTTAAACCAGGTTCCGAGAAGTTCAAAAAGCCCTTGTAGGAACCGCAACATCACTAAAAGCCAGATTCTGAAAGAAACACAGGTTTGGATTTCATTGATAAAACGGCAAAAACAGAAGGTATGATTTATCACATTGGGGGAAAGTGTTTGCAGCCCAGTCCTTTCTTTCAGTCTTAGTCCAGGACGTCTGCTGTGGGACGTTCACAACCGAGAACACTCCAAGTTGCCCACACTTTCGTAGTCGGGCTCCTGAACGCCCGGCGACTGGTCAGTTTCCGACTCGGGCCCTGTCCTTCCACCTCCCTTTGTTAAAATCCTGACTGTTTCGTAGCCAGGGTCCGTGTTTTCTGCCACCATTTCTTCAGATTTTGGTGGAACCTCAGGGGTGTGTTCCTGGTAAACATCGTTCACCGAGGCGTACAGATCGCTGGGGACAGCGGAAGATCCCGAACTGTTCGTCCCGCCAGCACAGCTGCAGTCTTGATCCTTCAGCTTAATGGACGGTTTAACGACACTGGAATACATAGCCGATATCT